GGTGCTCAATAAAAATATCAAATAAATAAATGAACATCAGCTTTCCAAGACAAACCCAGATTTTTTTCTGGCACTTAGGCCAGAGGAGAAACCATTACCCATGGGTCGTCCTAAGCAGGCAGCCCCTTGGTAGCCAGCACTGCTACAGATGAACTGGTGGGCAAAATACAAACTTCCTGACTTCGGGGAGCTTTCGCTGTGTTGGCAGGGGACGGGAGGTGCCCAACAGAGACACCTGAGGAGCTGGTGTGCCAGCAGACCTGCTGCGGTAGTGTGTAGGAACTAGAAGGTCCACAGGAGGGGGTGGGATTGGGCCTCAAACAGGAGGCAACACCTCCACCGAGCCTGGAAGGAAGTGAGGGAGCGAGCCAGCAGACACGGGGGAGAGCAGGGCCAGGGTCCTGGTCCCGTGTAGCTTGCGGAGGTGTCCAGGGGCTGCTGCGGCCCCTGAGCAAGGCCCGGGGTGGCAGGGCGGTGGAGGCGGCAGAGCAGGGGCGCGCTGGCTGGCTCTGTTTGGTGACCTTTGAGAGCTGGGCTTTCCCAGGAGCAAGATGCTGGGGACAGCTCCACAGAGAGCTGGAGACAGGGTGGACGGACCAGCTGGGTTCTGGGTCTGTCTGCAGGGTTCACGGCAGGATTCCTGAGGCGCCAGGCATAGGGGTGAGGACAGGAGCAGAAGAGCCTCTCAGTGCCCCTCCCCCCTCGGTGCCCCTCCCCTCTCGGTGCCCCTTCCCCATCGGAAGCCTCCGCCCTGCACACTAGAGCGGGGTGTGACACGGCTGCCTCCAGCCAGAGCCCTCTCAACATCCAGGGCCAGAGCAACGCCCCAGATCGTGACCTGGCCAGCTGGCACCCTCTGGCCACCAGCCCAGCGCCGAGAGAGAGGGTAGCCGCCAGCTCGGGAAGGGCCGCTGAGCCCAGCCGTAGGCCAGCTGTGGGCTGCTCCATCAGGGGCTTCCAGCCCAGGATGGCAGCAGGTTCCTCCACAGCCCCAGAGCCTCCCCAGACCAACACGCTCACATACTCAGACACTCACACTCGCTCTCACTCACAGGTTCACACACTCACAAATGCACACGCCCATTTATCCGTAATGCCTGTATTCACATGTGCCCCTTGCAGGTGGCTCCTGTGCTTATGATCCCGTTAGTGCTCTCCCTTCCACATTAAAAAGAGGAGATTTGACGTGCCTGGAATACCGTGTCTATTGCAGGGGGTGTGGCTGCGTGATAGAGCCCCGGCTCCCCAAGTGCAAGACCCGGGTTTCAACCCCCAGCACAATAAAGGGGAAAACATCTAAAATATAGTATTTGTGACCTTTTGTAGTTCATTGACCCCACTGAGACTCCCATAAATGCCAGGGACCTTCCCCCAGGAAAAAACACCCATTCTCCCTGTCTCTCTTTCTCCCTCTGTCTCTCTCTCTCTCTCTCTCTCTCTCTCTCACACACACACACACACACACACACA